GGTGTCGTAGTGGTCGTCGTTGGGTGAACTCAGCTGGTTGACTGGCCGTGGAGTTGGCAGGGGGTTGGGGGTGTAGTAGGTGATGTCCAGGTCGTAGAGGAGCATACGTAGAAGGCCCCGACCATAGTGTTGCCGTACATGCCACCAGGGTGGTTGGTTGCAGCGGGCGAAGGCTGCTGGGGATAGTTCTGCCTTTGGAGCATCGGTAACAAGCCCCGAGGGGGTTGGAAAGCCATGAGAATACAAGAGGGAAAGGGGACCACGTTGGAACCGAACGCCTGCAAAAGAGAACCAAAAGGAAGGGTCGAACGGTGAAAAACAAGCGAACAAACCGCGCATCAGTCCTTTTCCTGGTCACATGGAATATGTTACGGTCCGCACCCTACTAGGCCGGGCGCTGCAGCGCGATGCCTCTCAACATGGCATACATGGAGTGAAGGCGCCATTTCTTGCCTCGGCGGCATGCAAAGTGTCGCCGTGCGTTGTGCTGGTCCTCGTGGCTTCCCCCGGACTCCAAGATCTTGTGTTGATTGACAGAGCGCAGTTCCCCAAAAGCGATGGCTCCAAGCTGAGACTTTCCAATGGTGAAGTTCTGCAAAAGCTGGCCTAACGTGTCGGGGCTGCAGGCCGTGGGAGTGGCCTGAGCATAGCATCCAAAGCTCGGTCGTACATGACGGCATGGTGGAAAGGCGATGCCGGACCCGGCTTCCGGGTCCCCGCCAGCGACCGGCCACGCATGTGGTCGGGGGAACCAAGTAGTTGCGAACACCATGCCTTGCGATTCTCGTCCAAGGAGGTGGTAGAAGCTGGCTTCAAATGGAATGGGGTCGGCCATGTCCATGGTGCGCAGTTCCCAGCATTCCGCGAGGAGGTCTGTATGCAAAGGTGGCAAGGCAGCTTCATCAAAAGGGCCTTGGTTTGTTCCATTCTGGCGAAGCTCCCCCAACTCCCTAGGTGGGAATTCGCAGTGGATCAGTCTTGGCTGTGTCCATGACGCTTTGCCATAGATCGAGCCACTGGCTGTCGGGATGTGATGGGCTCGGTGGGTCTTGGTCCTCGGTGCCATCCAAGGGGTGTGGGGGGTTGGGGAAGGAGCCAGGTGCAGGGAAAGGGGGCGCGCTGCTGTTGTTGCGGCCGGCCCGGGATGAGGAGCGCGGCTGCTGCCATGACTGCTGTTGTTGCCAGGACTGTAGCTTGCCCTGATTGCTCCAGTTGCCTGTGTTGCTGGTGCTGTGGCTGTGCTTGCCCCAGCTGTGTGTGCTGTGGCCTTGTGGTGCGTGTCCCCACAATTGGTTCCGCCGGCGTGAGGAGGACTTTTGAGACTTGTCGGTGTCCCATCCGGAAGATTGCCAGGAAGTGGAGCCGTGGGAGGCGTGGGTGTCCGGAGCTCGCTGTCCTGAAAATTGTCGTTGGGGGGACCTGCGCCGAGGGGAGCGTGAGCGGAGGGAAATGGGGGTGTGGTGAGATCTCCTGGAACGGTGGCGGGGGTGTGAGGACCGGCTGGAGTGGCGTGCTCGCCGGGTGGTGCGTCGCCGTGGCGACTTGTCATGTGCCCGGTGGTGACTGGTGCGGGAGTGTGAGTTCTGCGGCGGGAACGGGATCCGCGGTAGTGGGGTGGGGGTTGGGTGTCAGTGGGAGTCGGGTTGGTCGAGGAAGCGGCTGCGGGAGTCGTAGCAGCTGCAGCAGCGGCGCGGGCCGACTGAGGCTCGGGCAACGAAGATGTCATGCTGCTCTGAGCCGTGAAGGGCATCAGGGTGCCGGATGTCGCATTTCCAAAGTTCGAAAGGCCGCCATGGGGCATCATGGACATTGGGTTGCCAAAGCATGAAACGGTACCAAGGTCGTGGTCGTGGGGAGGGCGAAGGCATTGGGCTCGTGGGCTGCATGATCTGCAGTGACAGCTGTAGATTCGGCCCAGCACTGCCTGGTGTGCCGGACATGGCGCCGGCCGCGATGCTTTGCAGGAGCAAATGCATCATGTCATAGAGCTGGTGTCCAGCCATCTCAAAAGGGAGAGAGAGGGTTGGAAAGGGGCAGTCAAGAATTCATGTCAAAGCAAGGCATCGCATCAAGGCATCGCATGAACGTGAACGTGAATTGAACTGACCTGAGTCAGCGCAGAGCGTGAATCAATGAACTGCAAAGTCGGTGTCTGACCGGCTTGTCACTCGCGCATGAAGCTGCCGGAGCCTGATACCTCATATGCAGGCAGTGCAATGCGAATGAAGCTGCCGGAGCCTGATACCTCATGAGAGCTGCCTTGTTCAAAATGCAGGCAGTGCAATGCGAATGCGAATGGTACCTCACCTGCAAATTCGCTGCCTTGATCATGGTCAATCGCGCTGAACTGCAGCTTGAATTTGAACGTATGAACGGTCTTCCCCTCGCAGGGGGCTCCCGCATGTGGCGAGCCCAGCCCACAGCGCCATGTCGGACAGGCCGTGGGTAAACACACTTATCTCGAGAGGCTTCACTAGCCGAGATGAAAACGCTGGAAGAAACATGCAACTGCTGAAATTGCTTGACAACCGGGAAGCAACAGCGAACAGGACAGTAAAACAGTCAGGAAAAAAACAGTCAGGAAAAAAGAAGGAAAGGCAGGCACACACGGGTGATCAATCTGTGCATCCACCATCAAGCATAGCTTCATTGGCCAGCGTTTGCTTGATGGACGCTGGCTCCCTGCTCAAAAAGGCTCCGAAGGGTTTAACGTCCGTGTTCCAGCACGGTTCACACACACACACGCGCGCGCGTGTGCGCGCACCAACACACGCGCGCGCCCGCACAGCCGCACACACACACACACACCGTGCACTCACGCTTGCGCAAAAACACGCGACGCACACACAAACACACATACACTTACCCACACACACACACACGCGCATTGCCCACACGCGTGCGTGCGTGCACGCACACGCACACACACATGCACACCCGCACGCACATGCGCGCAACACTTGCCCTCGCACGCACGCACACACACACACCCATGCACGCACACACACGCACACACACACACACACACACACGCACACACACAGACACACACGGAGACAAACACATACAGTTATACACGGGCTCTCGCGCAAACAGAAATTCGCGCGAGCGCAAACATACACACACACACACACTCATGGCACACACACACACACACACTCACACACACACACACAGACACACACACACACACACACACACACACACACACGCACCCACCCACCCACCCACCCACCCACCCACCCACCCACCCACCCACCCACCCACCCACCCACCCACCCACCCACCCACCCACCCACCCACCGCGCACGCGCACGCGCACGCGCACGCGCACGCGCACGCACGCACACGCACACGCACACGCACACGCACACGCACACGCACACGCACACGCACACGCACACGCACACGCACACGCACACGCACACGCACACGCACACGCACACGCACACGCACACGCACACGCACACGCACACGCACACGCACACGCACACGCACACGCACACGCACACGCACACGCACACGCACACACCACACACACACACACACACGCGCGCGCGCGTGTGCGCGCACCAACACACGCGCGCGCCCGAAAGGCCGCCATGGGGCATCATGGACATTGGGTTGCCAAAGCATGGAAAACGGTACCAAGGTCGTGGTCGTGGGGAGGGCGAAGGCATTGGGCTCGTGGGCTGCAGTGACAGCTGTAGATTCGGCCCAGCACTGCCTGGTGTGCCGGACATGGTGCCGGCCGCGATGCTTTGCAGGAGCGAATGCATCATGTCATAGAGCTGGTGTCCAGCCATCTCAAAAGGGAGAGAGAGGGTTGGAAAGGGGCAGTCAAGAATTCATGTCAAAGCAAGGCATCGCATCAAGGCATCGCATGAACGTGAACGTGAATTGAACTGACCTGAGTCAGCGCAGAGCGTGAATCAATGAACTGCAAAGTCGGTGTCTGACCGGCTTGTCACTCGCGCATGAAGCTGCCGGAGCCTGATACCTCATATGCAGGCAGTGCAATGCGAATGAAGCTGCCGGAGCCTGATACCTCATGAGAGCTGCCTTGTTCAAAATGCAGGCAGTGCAATGCGAATGCGAATGGTACCTCACCTGCAAATTCGCTGCCTTGATCATGGTCAATCGCGCTGAACTGCAGCTTGAATTTGAACGTATGAACGGTCTTCCCCTCGCAGGGGGCTCCCGCATGTGGCGAGCCCAGCCCACAGCGCCATGTCGGACAGGCCGTGGGTAAACACACTTATCTCGAGAGGCTTCACTAGCCGAGATGAAAACGCTGGAAGAAACATGCAACTGCTGAAATTGCTTGACAACCGGGAAGCAACAGCGAACAGGACAGTAAAACAGTCAGGAAAAAAACAGTCAGGAAAAAAGAAGGAAAGGCAGGCACACACGGGTGATCAATCTGTGCATCCACCATCAAGCATAGCTTCATTGGCCAGCGTTTGCTTGATGGACGCTGGCTCCCTGCTCAAAAAGGCTCCGAAGGGTTTAACGTCCGTGTTCCTAATGACAGGATGATGAAAAACCATTCAATATGACATTTCTATTTATTTTCGCCCCGGATTTGAGGAGCTTCGCGCAGACTCGTGTACATATTCGAGTCTTCTCTCCTCAGATTTTGAACAGCTCCGTCACCAGCCAGTGCAAAAGTAGTGTGCCTCCTCCGCCGTGCTGAAATTCTTCCAAAAAACCGATCTCTTTTGTTTCTCATTGGTTCTATGCTTGATTCACAATATTCCATTCATGATGCAATCTGCCTGCCGTCTATATGGCTTGGTAGCTCATTTTCTGTTGGATAGAGGGTCAAAGCCCGACTTGCTGACCGTGGTACAGTTATAGCTTGTCCCCAAAACACTTTTTCATTCTGACCAGAGTAGATCCACCAGACCCACAAAATGTTCCTTGCGGGGGCCACTTGGGTCTTTGTGTGTCACAGGGAGAGAGGGAGGAGAGGAGAGAGCATGTTGCTATGTGGTCAGGGTGGCTGCTGCGCGGCTTGGAGGCAGAGATGCCGTTTGGACTTGCGGATTCCGCGCCATGTGTGCAGGTCACTGAAACGCAGCGCCCAGTGCCTCAGAGCCTTGCGAAAGAGCGCGCGCAGTTGCTGCAGCACGCCGCACGCATGGCGCTCTTCTCACAGCTTTGTTGAACGCCGCAGATCAGTCAAGGACAGAGCAGTGCGCCAATCCAAGAAACACCCTTGACCGTTCAGCGCAAGGCCACTTCAATGATTTTCATTAGTGGACACAGCGCAACTCCCTTGCAACCATCGATGAGCCTTGCCGATGGCACTCAGACCTGACTCGCTGGGAGATTTCGTGCCCCCGCTCCGTTAGCGTTGGGGCAGCCCTAAGCAGTACACTTACGGAGGCCTTTGCCTCTCTGAGCCCAGGGAGCCCGCGGCGAAGCCGCTCCGTTGCCCTTCGCGTGGCTCGCAAGTGATGAGGCGGGAACTGTCTGCGAAACGGAGAAGGTCAAGACCCCCGACCCGACCGCCGACACGAAACGTTCTATATTCAAGGGGTTCTTACGGTAAGGTTAGATCGCGGGCTCGCGCTCAAAGTGTTGGCCCTGCAAGAAAAAGGTTAACTTCGATGTGACACAGTTTTGCGCGCAAAGTGGGTTTGAGCGGGCAGTGCGCTAGGAAACCTCCTGCCCGTCGCGTGAAACGCATTTCTTAAACATTGCTTTGGCGGGCGGCGCGTGGAGGTTCGCGCGACGACGCGGGGTGTGTGTGTGTGTGTGTGTTGCGCGGAAGCCTCATGCTAAACGCGCATTTTTGAGAGCAAAGTTTTTGATGGCACGGCCGCTACGCAGTGGATGTCTCCTTGTCGGATCAGGCAACGACGCTTGGACAATCGGGCCTCTAAGCCATGGTTCGCAAAGAGTTGTCCTGCGCGCGACAGCTTGGCGGGAAACGGCCCTTTCTTCAAGAGTGCGCTCCCGCTGTGGCGCTGTGCCGATCTTCGATCTGTGTGTTGACGGCAGGATTCCATGGCTAGCGCAGCATTCTGTGACACTGGCGTGCGTTTGTTGGCGGGCGCAGCATGTGTCGCAGCTGATGCTATGGGTTGCGTGGCAAGCGCAGCATTCTCAGCAACAGGTCTGTGCCTGTCGTGGCAAGCGCAGCTCATTTGCAAGCGTTGCAAGGCGAAAGTGAACCCTGTGCGGGCATCTGCTTGTCGAAGCTCGCTGTGGCGCCGTGCGAATGTGTCTTGAGCTTGGCGAACCCTCCGCGGAGGCTCCGGTGAACCCTTTGCGGAGATCGTGCCACGGCGCTCTCGCTATGGCGCCGCGCAGATGTGTCTTGGTCGCGGCTCCAGCTGCAGAACCGCAACTTTTAAGTGCAAAAGTTGCGCAGGAAGTGCGTTCAGCTCCGGCTCGAAACTCGTTAGTTTTGATGGCAAGAGTAGCACGCGGAGCGCCTCTCGAAAAGTCGCAAGTTTTAAGTACAAGAGTAGGGTGCGGAGTGCGTTTCCAGAGCTCCGGCCGCAAAATGGCAACTGTCACGCGCAAAATAGCGCGCGAAGTGCGATGCCATGGCTCTAGCTCGAGAATTGCAGTTTTTACGACGCGAAGTGCGGCTGCAAAATCGTAAGCGTTTACGTGCAAAGGTGGCGCGTGAAGCCCACTCTTGCAGCTCCAGCGCGAAAAGCGTGCGAAAGTAATGTTCGGAAAGCGCACTCTCGCATCTGCAGCTCGAAAACCGCACCTTTAAATTGGAAAAGCCGCGCGCGAATTACACTTCCGTATCTCCAGCCCGAAAATCGCACTTGTAAGGGCAAAGTGGTACTCGGATCCGCAACTAGAACTGTCAGCCTTCTTGCGCAGGCAAGCTGCGCGCAGGTATGGACATGAGAGGTTGACAGAGAAAGCGACATGAAAGGTTGGGCAAGAGAGCTTTGCAGGGCATCACGCGCAAGAGGGACTCATGCGCAGCATTTGCCCGCAGCATCGTGCGTTGCGTTGTGGGGAAATGTCACGTGCAGCATCATGTGCAGCACCATGCACAGCATCACACGCAACACCACGCGTAGCCTCATGCGCGCGCAAAAGAAGTTGACAGGAGAGATTGTGAAACATGATGCTAAGTTTGCTCATGAGAGCTTGCGCAGGCGGGGGAGGTGTCAGGGTTTATTGAACGTGTTTAGCCAGGCTCAAAACTATTTGGGGTTTCTTGCCGGGATAATTCTTTGTTTTGGCCTTTCCTTCAACCTACATGCCCCACGCACCATTTCTGGCGATGGTTTGGCGCTCGTTGGCACCAATTGTTGGCAACGCCCGGGATCATGAAACTGCTTGATATATCTTCGCAATGCCAGCGTCTCATGACGCGAGTGTTCGCATCCAGTGTTTCACGCTGATCAGTTCTCGGGACGGACACGTGTTCACATGCCAGAAAAATGCGGCATGCTGTCCAACGATTCTTTTGCCCACCCCTTGCCTAAGCCGATCAGATGATCAAGTGGATTGATTTGTCAACTGCGCACATACGCATGTTATGTCTTTCACCCTCAAAAGTCGCCAAGTTTGTTTGACAACATCAGTTGAGTTTCGACAGGGAGCCTAAGCACAAATCCACCTGGCCAAGTACACCACTTCAGGGAAGGGATGCCTCGTTTTGTTTTCAAACCCGGGCGCGTCGCCTCAGGTCAGAGGGGCCTGCAGAAAGAGCTACGGGCAGCAGCCAGGCGGAAGAGCTGGTTGATTGGGCGTGTCCTTTTTGTGAGCGAAGCGATGCAGGGTGACTCCCAGGATAGCTCAAGACAGGCCAGTCGTGCGGCTAAAGGGGCGGCAACAAGCAAAATTGCATGGGCAGCTGGCATGTGTGTTGCTTTCTCTCTCTCCCTCTCTTTATTTTCTTCTCTTTATTTCCTTCTCTTTCTTTTTTTTTCTATTTCTTTCTTTCTTTCTTTCTTTCTTTCTTTCATTCTTTCTTTCTTTCTCTCTCTTTCTTTCTTTCTTTCTTTCTTTCTTTCTTTCTTTCTTTCTTTCTTTCTTTCTTTCTTTCTTTCTTTCTTTCTTTCTTTCTCTCTTTCTCTCTTTCTTTCTTTCTTTCTTTGTTTCTTTCTTTCTTTTTTTCTTTCATTCTTGCTTTCTTTCTTTCTTTCTTTCTTTCTTTCTTTCTTTCGTTCTCTCTTTCTCTCTTTCTTTCTTTGTTTCTTTCTTTGTTTCTTTCTTTCTTTCTTTCTTTCTTTCTCTCTCTCTCTCGTGAAAGTCAAATTGACAAATTTGACACATGCAAGTGCTGCGTGGCCCCTCGGTGTGCAGCCACAATTGGAGAGTGGGCGCGCGTCCTGTTTGAACGTACTTTGGTGCCGTAGAGAGGTATCTTGTTGGAGTATGTTGGAGTTAGGTCTGCAAGTGGGTGTGGACGCGCCTGAGTCAATCAGAAGGTGCGCATTGCTTTTGCAGTGCTGCTGGTGTACTTGCCTTGGGTCCTCTTGCAGGTACTGCTGGTAGTTAGTGCTGTGGCATTCCGGGATGTATATGATGCCTTCTTCTCGGAATTGTGGGGTGGGGAGGTGGTAATTTCCTCGTTTAGGGCAACGCTCTGCGCGTGCACTCATGCCCAAGCGCGCCCGCTCAGCGCGGAGCACACGCCTGCCACGTGAGAAGCACGCACGCAAGAGCGCCCGGTCAGCGCCGCGCACGAGATGCGCACACGCCTGTCGATGGTAACCTGGTAAGTGAATGTAAGTGGCACACGCCTGTCGATGTGTAGCGTTGACCGGGTGCGCTTGGACGGGCGCGTTTACCTGGCAGGTGTGAAGAGCTGGCCCGCGCGTGAGCTGACGGGCTGACTGGCCTGGCAGTTCGTCTCCTTCTCCTACGTGACATATGGGACTGCAGTCCTGTTCCCAGCGACTTCCTTTCCTTTTGATTTGCAGTAGTTTCCGTAAGCCTCTTGAGCCTCCGCAGCCTTGTTCTTATCTTTGTTGTATCCTCCCTTGCATTTGTCGAATCAATCGTGCACCCTTTGTGCCTTTGCCTTTGTTTCCTTGGTAGTCTGTTCTTTCCTGTGCGTTTGTCGCCTCTTGTCTCGACATGTCAGCACGCATGAGTAGTGGTCGAGGACCACTGCTCTGATCTCGGTGTGGTTGGTGATCTCTCCAGTGCGCAGTTGCAGATGTTGTAGCGTTTTTTGAGTTGCGCTGCTATCTTCAGTTGAGTTCCTGGTAGTGATGCACCTGTCTTTCTCGTAGTTGTAGCTGCTTGTTCTTCCTTGACAGATCTTGATGGGGATGTAGTGTTGGTCTCTTGCGAGGTCGACCGTTTTTGTCGCCGAGTTGTAGTACTAAGTCAAAATCTTGGTCGATTAGTGCAAGGTCTGCTTGTTGCTTGAAAAGCCATTCTTCAAATTGCTAAAAGACACCATGAAAGAACGGTGGTAACAGTTTGTAGCGCAGGCCTTGAGCTTCAATACCGCATGAAAGCGTCCTGGAAAAATGGGCGCGTTGCAGACTACTTTGATTGTTTATTGAAACACACAACAGCACTTGCTCTTGTCGTTTTTGTCGGAGCTGATGTCCTACGCATTGGGGGCTCCAGTTTTCAACGGTAAGTACATAAACAGCAAAACCACCGCATGCCAAACTACTTTGGCATGTCAGGAGCGCCAGCATCAGCGTCGGCTCAGCCAACTACAGGAGTAAGCAATGGACGGACCAGGAGCAACAACTACGGGCGCAACACAAGAACAAGACAGTGACCTTCCCTTCCCTTCCGTTCCCTCCCCTTCTCTTCCCTTCCCTTCCCTTCCCTTCTTTCTTTTCTTTTTCCCTACTTTACTGCAGTACTTCCTTCGTTCCTTGTTTTTGGCTCCCTCTCTCCTCCCGCCTCTCTTTCTGCCTCTCTTTCTGGCTTACTCTGCTGCAAAGTGGGTTGCACGCAGGCAGATGCGAATATGAGCAATTACGCATTCTTTGTCAAGTGCGCTTGAGAAAACCTCTCATTCTCGTTAAAAGAAGTCCACAAGCAGAGACCAAGATGTGAGGTACACTTATTCCAATGAGTGCGCTTTGCTCGCCTACAACTTTCATGAACTCGTGTCCAAGATTGGCATCTTCGAAATATTCGCGTATAGGCAGGGCGGGGTGTCGCCAATCTGCGAGGTAAGTGAGCATGCAGGCACGACCACCGCCTCATCAGCGTAACGCTGGCGTACATACTTTATAGATACCAGGCCTCATGTCTCAACGCCCCGGTGTGCTGGTGTGGGGGCTTGAGGTGCACCACTGTGACATGGCTCTGGACCTGGCTCTGACACTAGTGTACCTGGAGGAGCCTATGGAAGTCGGTGGAAGTGAAGCCAGCGGCCGCCAGGATTTGCGGAGCCTTGTTGAGGCGAAGCCCGAAGTTCGAGAGCCCGGGCCCCACCTGAAGTTCACTGTGGACCGCGACTTTGCGCGTGAACACCACAAAGACTGCAGCGATTGCCCGAAGATGCGGACAGAAAAAACGGCCAAAGGCTAGCACACGACCAGCCTTGTAAGACATTCAATCGGAGAGACCTATCACTTTATCAATTGAGAGATCGCTGGCCCAGTTTTTCTTGCAGGCGCGGCCGCGACGCCTTCAACTTAATTTGCCGGGCTGGCAAACTTGAAACGGGCCCGTGTTCCCAAAGAGCTCGCGCTTTGCGCCAGGCTATATGGCATTCTTGGCGCATGCCTTTAATTCAGACCGCCCGATAAGACTTGCCGACTGGCCCGGGCCTGACTGCGTGGAAACGCCAATTAACGCCTGTGCGCTTGAGGTTCAAAGAGATCGGCTGGCGGTCCTTCAAGAATTGCCAATGGCCGAGCCTAGCTTCCGCGCAAAGTACCTCGCACACAGCTCACACACGGCGCACACGAAGCGCAGGCGCACACGCACAGCGCACGCAGCGCGCACGGCGCGCGCAGAGCGCGCGCAGCACCCTGCGGAGCGCGCGTAGAGCACCCGGGCCTTTGATTTTCAACTTGGGCCCATGTTCAGCGAAGGAACAAAGTTCACCTTTTGTGAATTGTTTCTTAAGGGCAGCTGAGGTCCTTTATTCCTAGGTGCCCTGAGAACACTCGAGCCGCCAAAGGCTCTAGTTTCGAAACTCCTCTTGGGTGAGAAAGCTGCGCCCTGGCGTTCTCTTGGAAAAGCAACGAAACGGAAACAGGCCAGGCGCGCTGGGCAAATTATTGCGAGCTTTTTTTGAAGCGAGCTCGCCGTTTCTTTCTGCAAGCGTTTTGCCTGGGGCCACACGAAGCCACAGGCGCTTGGAGGGCGCTACCCCTCGTCATCCTTTGCCCGTGTCAACCCAGCCTTGCTGCGCGCGTCGTAGCACAGCCCAGCCTTGCTTCAAAGCGCTTTTCAGCGGCCTTGCTCCGCAGCGCATCTCAACATAGTTTTAGCGCGTTTCATCCCAGCCCTTCTCGGCTTTGCGCGGGGGCCTCTTTCTTTTGATAAACACTTTCGGGACAAGCGGGGCCCAGATTTGAAACGAAAAAGGGTTCCGCATTCGGCGCAAAACAACAGGAGGTTGTTTGGGTGTTGAGTAGCCCGTTTTTGACAGGAATGGAAAACCGACACCGCAAGACTAAGAGTGATTTGGATCTTTCCCGTTTTTCGCCAAAGAGGAAGTTGATCCTCCATGATCTCAATTGCCCAAGCCCACCTTTGAAGTTTTGGATTTACAGCTTGTCACCCAAAGTAATCCTTTCTTTTCCGCGGACAGATCGTGCGTCCAGCAGCGTGCTCAGCCCACGTAGGCGGGCAGCGCACAGACAGAGCAGACAGAGCGTGCAGCGCGCGTGCCATGCAAAGCGCGCTGGGCTGCACGAGCGCAGTGCGCAGAGCCGCGTGCGCTCGCAGCTCAGGTCACCAGTTAAACGCCTACGTGTTCTTCCTGTTCTCTCAAGCCTCCAGCTTGGGCGTACGTGCAAACGGGGAGTTGCGGTCCCTGCGGGCAAGGTCCGTGGCTTCAAGCTGCGGGTAAGCGAGAGCCAGGTGAAGAGGCAGGGTGCGTAGCAGAGCAGGCGCCAAGTATATACCTCGCAGCGTAACAACCGCCAACGCAACCGGGACACAGCAACAGCAGTTCCATCGACAGTGACGACAGCAACGGGTCGACAATGCTGCAAGGTAAGCCTACACAGATGCTATACTGTATTATACTGTTGTACACCGCGTGGCGTCCTCACACCTACTGATCCTACTGCATCTTGACAAGGTTGTGGCTTTGTTGGCGCGCTGCTTTCGGGGCGGCCCTCGATTTGTTTAGGGGTGAAAGGGCAGGCTTTCGGGCAGGCTCAGGACGGGGTAGGTGTAGCCACCTCAGATGTTTGCAATCGTCTCCGTGTTTAAGTTCTTCCTCGCTTTGCGACGTGAGACCCACGCATCCGCAGCGCAACAAGGGCAACTTGCTTGCGTTCATGACCCAACAGCGACAGGAAGTTTAGCGAAGAAACCAGGTTACTTGGTTTGTTCTCCTTTGGCCCAAAAACAGCTGAGTTGCGCTCTGCATGTGTCGCATGTGCGGCATGCTCTGAGGGGCAGAAACACAATACTAGGTTGAGAGACAAAAAGGGCTGGCCGTGCGCTTCGGGCCACTGCGTGCTTACACCCTTGTGGACGAAGTTACATCCCGCAGTTTGAGTTCCGCAACGTGTTAGCTGCAAGTGCGAGCTCAGTTCAAAGGCATGACAAATCAATCATCATGTTAGGCGTGAAGTGTGGGATTACCTTCATCGCGACCAAGATGCTCATTTGAACTCCGTTTACTCCGGTCTAGCCGAACAGTTTCCATGCCAGACAGAATTCTACTCCACCCACGACTTCTTGCTCTTGCCAGACGTTCTGTCGGTCACTGCGACTCAACTGTTCGCCGTAAGCGGTTCTCCCTCTCTTTCCGCTCAAACTTGCTCTCCAATGGGCTCAGAATTCTCACTTGAGCATTTTTGGCGAATTCAGCGAAACGGGCATCGGCGCAAAGCGAGAGTGGCGCCTAGGGACTTCGTCGACCAGATGACGTGCTTGTGGATTGACCGAATGTTGCGTCAGCCGATGAAGCCCCGGACAGGCTTGCGACAAGTGCTTAATGAAACAATTCCATCTTACATTAACAAACCGCTGCTGAATAAGAGGAATTCGGTGCTTAATTCGCTTGTTATTTTTTAAAAGCTGTATTTTTGGATTTCGGCTTTCAGCAGAGCAGAACTTAATTAGTAAGTGTTTTCTTATTTAAGAACTATAGACCTTAATTAAATAATCAACATTGGCAAACTTTGGTCTATTTCTTTTTTAAAGACACTGCTTATTGCAAAAATGCATTGTTTATCTAAGACATGTTGTTCTTGGCATCGCCGCATGCAAAATCTGGTATAGCTTTTCCCCCTCAGGCAACCACACCAACAACCACACCAACAGCCACACCAACACCAGCACCAGCACCAGCACCAGCACCAGCACCAGCACCCTCAACAGTATGTGGAGCAATAGAGGAGAGGTAGAAGACTGGAGCGGCTGCCAAGGGTGTGCGACAAAGGAGTACTACCCTTCGGGTGTACGGTCTTGCCAACATCCAAAGCGAGCGTGCTTTCGTTAAAACCCCCACCAAACCCGGCCCAAACCCCTCCTTAGACAAAACTTGGAGCAAACCCGAACAAAGCCCGCCCTGAACCCTGAGCAGAAGAAGAAGAGCCCACCTTATTAGACCCAGACTAAACCAAAGCTGGAACCAGCTGCCCGCTTGTCACTCTGGGGGTGTTGCTTGTCACTCTGGGGGTGTTGAAGACCAAACTGGCATGTTAAATGGATGCCCCGGGATGTTAACAATGCTGGCGGAAAGCTTATACGTGTTGGTTGCGAATGTTGTAAAACTCGCCGCTTAAGCCAGCGCCTCAAGGTGTACCCTGCGTGCGGTCGGCTGTTCTTCACATTGTCCCACGCGTTGGTTGTTGTGATTGTTTCGCAGGCGCGGGTTCTGCTGAGCGGTCGGGAGTTTATAGACATTGAAATGAAAGTTCGCGCAAACCTTGCCCGCTAAGCTCGACGCCACCAACAAGACCTCTGCTAAGCGTCGCAGTGCTGTTGCTTCTCCCGTAGAATTCCGTATGGTCAAGTTGGATTCTGTTTTAATACGGAGCACACGGGTGCGTGCCAGCACGCCAGCAGCACGCCAGCAGCACGCCAGCAGCACGCCAGCAGCACGCCAGCAGCACGCCAGCATGGCAAGCAAGCTGAAGCAGCAAAGTCAATTGCTGCCGCCGTTCCCGTACAGCCGCAGTGCTTGCTGCCAATTTCTGTTGCGATTTGGCTTGCAGCGACTATACATGTGGCCAGGTATATTCAAAAGCTGTGCAGCGTTCCCAACCAAGCCACCACAACCTGACGCAAGCTTGGGACTTATGGGCGTCTGCCCCTGGGTGTCTCCAGGCAGGTTACAGGAGACCCCAATTGGTTCCATTTCAATGCCGGTGGTTGAAAACCCCCGACGAGTCTGCAAGCGTGGCGGAAGAGTGAAAGAGTTGCACGGAAAAAGCATGCCATGCACAGACTCACTGGTCTCGCCCAAAGCCTGCGGCTCTCAAGACACCTATGCCTTGACACGCCCGGGTTTGGTTGGGTGTCCCGTAGGTTCTGGTCGTGACCTTGGCATTCCAACGTCGTGGGGCGACGACCTTTTAAAACGTCAGGTTCTAACCTCTCGGATGAGGCCTGAATGAAGCCTCTACACCTGTTAGCTTGCGCTGTCGTTGGTTTTCTGCGCGAGCAGGACGATCTCACCCAGGACTTAGCCCCTGTGTAATCCAGACGGATCGAGCCTCGTCACTTTTTGCTCAGCATTCGCTTGTCTCGCTGCCCGCAAGTGACAATGCAAATTCTATTTCTAGACTCGGTGCTTGAGGCTCATTGGGATGAGCCTGAGGCAACGGGCCTCTCAGTGTGGCGCGGCGTGAACCAAAAAGCATCCGGGCCTCCAAGGGCCTCCAAGGGCCTCCAAGGGCCTCCAAGGGCCTGCAAGATGCATGGCAAGCAGTGCAAGTTGATGCAGGCAGTGCAAGCAGTGCAAGCAGTGCAAGGCTTCACCGATCATGGCGCATAGCTCGGGGTACGAGTCCCAAACAATGGCAATCAGATAGTGCTGATGAGAGAACAAATGCGCAAGTTTATATCAAACACGGTGTCGTAAAGACAACTCTGAAAATCAATGCGCGTGATAAACAAAGGTATAGGAAACATCAACGACTAGACGCAATGAGGCAACGAAGTAGATGGAGAGAAGAAATGCAGAAGCTGCTGAAGAATGCGGTAGGTGGTGTGTGGCAAGCAGAGAAAGATAGTGGGCAGACAATGTTTTGGATTCAGCCGAGAGTCAAAAATGGGATGTCAGGAGGGATGTGTTCAGTGAGGACTCTCAAAGGTTCTTCGTGGCGAGGGGCGGACGCGCGCTTGATCCACAGTGCTGAATTGCAATGCCAGATTGATGCGATCGAATTCGTCTTTGAGGGCTAAAGCTGGGGCACTTTCGGCCAACAAAGTTGCCGTTGGCGGAGAGTTTGTGGCTTGTTATCAGCTTGCACACACCACATGACAAGTGTTGTGCCGGAGCTTTAGCCGTACCAGCTGTCTTGACATGTGGTTGTTTGCCGCGGCGCAACACAGAGAGTGAAGAAGTAGAGCAAACAAATGAACATGCTCACAAATCGTGCTTGGAGCTTGGACCTTTTGCCGCCATGGATGTGGATATGCTCGACGATGCCACTTGCCTTGTTTTGCGGGAGAGGGTGAGATTGCTTGAGTGCATTTTGGGTCGTTTGGAGTTTTTGCTGCAAGCCCTGCACCTGAGGCACCGCTGCTTCCGTGGGCAGATGCCTTGAACCCGTTGCCGCTTCAAGCTCTGAGATGCCCTTTGAGGTTGAGAAGTATCGCCCGTCCTCATTGGATCAGCTAGTTGCCCACGAGGCGCCTCCACTTCCAGTATCTCCACTAGTCACCTTGGCGTCCTTGGAGATGTGCAGGACATCATTCGAATGATCGAGCGGATGATTGTCAAGAAGACACTCCCGCACATGTTTCCTGGCAGACCTTTGCAGAGAACGGAACAACAGCTATGAAGTTAAATTCATGGCATTCAGGTCCAAATTTATAGTAATCAGGCCCAAAGAAGCCTTTGTTGTTCTCTTTGAATTTGGTTTTTGGGGGTGGGCAGAGGTGTCTTTTTACCAGAATCCTTTGGCCATTGACAAATTGATTTTCAGGTTGGAGCAAGCATTTCCGTGTGAGAAAAAAAACGACACGATAGAAAAACTGAGGGCTCAAACGGACCGAGCAAGAGGTCGATGAAGTTGCCCAGCTGAAAGCAGCTCAGTTTCAACCCCTCACCCCACTTCAAATCAGAACAATTTGGAGATCGATGAGACCCAACACATGCAGCGTGGGTTTAAAATCGCCTTTGATCCGGGTTGGGCAAATGCTGCAAAAACAAGTTGACAGGCCACAGGAACAAAGTTGTTGATAGATACTGTTGGGATGGATGAGGAAATCATTGGGCTTAATAGCAGCTGGTTTCTAGACATCATCACGCATGTCACGACTGTGCTTGCCCAGCACAGTGTGCTTGCCCAGCACCTTGCAGGGGCTGTGCTTACCCAACACAGATTGGGGGAGGGGGGGTGAGATGTGCTGGACAAGCACCCCCCCTCCCCCAATCTGTGCTGGGTAAGCACAGCCCCTTCAAGGTGCTGGGCAAGCACACTGTGCTGGGCAAGCACAGTCATCACATGCGTGATGTTAACAGGCAGCAGCATCATGTCTAGAAACCAGCTGCTATTAAGTCCAATGACTTCCTCATCCTTCCCAACAGTATCTACAGATTTGAAGGAGGGTATCAACAACTTTGTTGCTGTGACTTGTCAACTTGTTTTTGCAGGGCTTGCCCAACCCGGATCAAAGGCAATTTCAAACCCACGCTGCATGTTTTAGGTCTCATAGATCTCCGAATTGTTCTGATTTGAAGTGAGGTGAGGGGTTGAAACTCTCGGTTCGAGCCCTCAGTTTTTTTGTTGTGTCGTTTTTTCTCACAGGGAGCTGCACAAGCTCCCTGAGATGTGCTGGACAAGCACCCCCCCTCCCCCAATCTGTGCTGGGCAAGCACAGTCATCACATGTGTGTTGCTAACATTCAGCGGCATCATGTCTAAAAACCAGCTGCTATTACGTCCAATGACTTTCTCATCCATCCCAACAGTATCTACAGATTTGAAGGAGGGTATCAGCAGCTTTGTTGCTGTGACTTGTCAACTTGTTTTTGCAGGGCTTGCCCAACCCAGATCAGAGGCGATTTCAATCTGCACACCACCAAGTTCAGCGTTCCCGTGAGCACACGCATACTCCTGCAGCCCTGAGTTTGTTGGGTTTCGCCTTCACGCTGTGCTGGGTAAGCACGGCTCACAGCCCCTCTAAATTGCTGAGCAAGCAAACTGTGCTGCACAAGCATAGTCATAACACCCCTGCTGCAAAGCAGCAATTGCATAATTTTCAGAAGCCACCGGTCACCATTTGCAACAACATGTACAAGTTTGGAGGAGGTGACACTACTGTGAAGTCGACACTGTGTTAGGCCAGCATGTTTGCAGCGTCCGCCCAACCCGACCGAAACCCACAACTCTGACCATCATGTTTTCAGCAAAAAGGCAAGTTCAAGGCTTGTCCCAAGCAAATTCACTGTTGGCTGGAGCCCTCAGTCAGTTGTGTTGCTCTAAAACAGGGAGCTGCACAAGCTCCCTGAGATGTGCTGGACAAGCACCCCCTCCCCCAATCTGTGCTGGGTAAGCACAGCCCCTTCAAGGTGCTGGGCAAGCACACTGTGCTGGGCAAGCACAGGCATGACAAGCGTGTGGGAAACAAGCAGTGGCATCCCTCTCTTCACCCTTTTGGAGCCCTCAGTCAAATCGTTGTTGTACAACAGGGAGCTGCACAAGCTCCCTGGGATGTGCTGGACAAGCACCCCCTTCAACCTGTGCTGGGTAAGCGCAGCCCCCTCATTTTACAAACAGGCAGTTGCATGATGTCAGAAACAAGCTGAGGTTGGACACAAACATCAAAACTGGCGTTGGGTCACTGCGTTTTTCTTCCGCGTCCAACCTGAAAGACCCAGCCCAAAGGCTTCCAAGCAACATGGTTTCTTTTTAAACAAGACACAATTGCTCTTACAGCATGCCGCCTGCCACAGCCTCTTGAGTCTCTTCAGTCAGGCATTCACCAGTTTGCCAAACTGTTTTCAGAGGAAGCTGGCAAGCCCTTCAAACTAATGTGCTGGACCAGCATCGCCCCCAATGCTTCACAAGCCCACCCACATTTTGCGAGCTCTTTTGCAACATGGGCTAACCCCACTCACAGGCTTCCATTTACTCAGAAACCAAGATGATTCGGCTCTGAGTTGTGCTGTTAATCTCCGAGAGTGTTTGCAACTTAAGTGTTTTGCACAATGGGTGGGCTACCCATGCTGCTGCTCCAGCCAGCCCCACACACAATGAAGCACTTCTTGAGTGGGTACATCAACATTCCATGTTCTCTCGAAACCTCCTTGCACTAATTAGTAGGCACTTGTTGTTTGGAGCAGCCCTGAGTCAGTGGAGCAGTTTTCATTGAGCTGCGCAAGCTCGCTGGCATGTGCTGGACAAGCACCCCTCACTCTCAGCAGTGCGCAGAACACGCGCAATTGCTTCAAAGCATTGATAGCCAAAGAAAGGTTGCAAGGGAGCAGTTGCATTGGCAAAGCAATTTGCCAAGTTTCAGTCTGAAGTACACCGGCCCATTTGGCAACTAGCACTCAAGGCAACTTGTCTATTGCCAGTTGCTAAACACTCCCACTAAGCAATCTTTCTGAGCTGCGCAAGCTCGCGTACACGCGCTGAAGAAGCGCTCTCTCAGCCCTCAGCTGCTTCCACTCGAAGCACCCTGGGTCAGAAATGTGATGTCAGAAATCCTTAACAAGAAATTGTGATGTCAGATTCCCAGTGACATGTTTCCAACTATCCCCTCCCAGCCCAGCTGCTTGGAAGCTCTGCAGCCCAGCCAGCCATTCACAGGCAGTGCCCAGCCGCTGGAACCTAGGCTACAAGTGCTGGGACAGGAGGGCAGCTGAACACACACACAGTGCACGCTAGACGTATCAGCACTGCAGCAGTTTTTCGGATCACTGCAGCGCGGAACGGGAGCAGGAACAGACTCAGACTTCTAGAGAAAGCTATTCTGAGCCACAACAATTGATGATTTCTGCGACTTGTGAACCCATCTATATCACACATCCAGTGAACGCACTTCTTGCAGACTGCCCGTCAGCATAAGCAACTGACAAGGTCTTGACACATTGCGCGGCATAGCTAGCTCCTGTGACATGGCACCGAAAGAGAAGAAGGACTGCTGACTGCTCTCACGCAATGTGGTGGTCTTGGCAACTCATGTTTGCACCTTGGGCTTTTTCTTGCAGGACTGCGCAAAGACCGAGCCCAAGGACTGGTCTCACAATTTTAACTTCATGCTTGATAGCGTTTCTCTTTTCTCGCAGGAACGCCACAAGATCGAGCGTAAGGCCCGCCCCAGGCAACCACCGCCCAAACTTATGGCAACAACCTCCAAAGGAGCGCCGCCGTCAGCAGCCCCAGTAACCCCACCAAAGGCAGCGCCGAAAGAGCCTCCGAAGTGCCCTGGCCCACCGCCTGCTGCCCCACCGCCTGCCCCACCGCCTGGCAAGCAAAGAGCATCAGCAGCAGCAGCAGCAGCAGTCCCAGCAGAGCCAAAGACGGCAAGCCCAGTGCCAACACTGCAGAGCACACAGGGCCAAAGCCCGCAGGCCCAAAGCCCACAAGCCCTGGCCCTGGGGGCCTTGCAAAGACAAAGCCAGTCGCTTGCACAGCAGCAACTAGCCCGGGCTCACCAACTAGCCCTGCAAGGCTCGCCACCAACCAGCACAGCCCCTGCCACCACACCTGGCCCGCCAAGCCACACAGCGCCCACAGTGCCCAACCCTGCCACCGCGCCTGGCCCGCCAAGGAGCCTGCAGCGCCCCACCCTGCCACTGCACCTGCCCCGCCAAGGAGCCACTCAAAACCTGCAGCGCCCCACCCTGCCACTGCACCTGCCCCGCCAAG